CCACGTGATGCTGCTAACATGATGTGCCCCATCACTCATCTGCCTCAGCAAGCAGAGCATCCAGTCAGCTGAGTTCGACCCCACTGGCCATGTTCATTTTCAGACATTTTTTGACTTCACAGAGTTTCCCACTGCATTAGGGTGAAGGAAAACTGTTCCAGAGGGGATGACGTGGACTGTGGGGGTATCTCAATTTCAGAGGTGCGCAAGGAAATGCGTGCCGTCATCAGAGACTGACACATTTGTGCTGTTCAGCCCCATCTGGCAGGCTGACAATGCTGCCAGTATTCACTCCCAACCTTGTAGGTACAGCTAAGTGTGAGCAATTTGACAGTCTTGTACTGACAAGCTTGTTCCTGCGGTAAAATTCTGCGTGTGCATCTGCAGGGAGGAGGAGGGACAGGTAAGAAACCAGATGGGTCGAAATAGTCTTCACCTTCTGCTGCTCCACAACCTTCCCCAGCCGAAGACTTGTGCCTGCACACACACACACTTGCACACACACACGCACACACCTTCCCCTGGCTGCTCCCATCTCCCCAGGCCGACTGCAGCCCTCACTTTGCCACGTGCTCCTGTGCCCCCGTTTGACTTGCCATGGCAGCAGGGTGGTACCTGTCCAGCCTTCTGCTCTCACCTTCATTTCAGCCTGTGTGTTCACATAACACCGCACGAGCAATTTTCTTTTTCCCCCATAATCCCTTCCGTTTCTCTGAAAGTGTTGCTCACCCTTGGAGGGGGCGATGGCATTGGTGTCAGCTCAATGCAGGTTCCTCAGGGGTTCATCAGTAGGGCCAGCACAAAATGGAGAAGCGGGTGCACAAAGTGGAAAGCTAGGGGAACTCTAGAAACCAAATTACTCCTAAAAATACCTCACCCTGAAGGACATTTGAGGCGTCACTTATTCATTCCCCCCTCCAAGGCCTGGAGCTGGGCAGGCTGAGCACAGTGGACCTCGCACAGGCCTCTGCGCTGTTGGGCGCCTTGCACCAGGCAGCACCTTGCACGCTGCCAGTATTGGGCCTGCCTGTCAGAAAGGCTCCTGTGGGGGTCCAGAGGTCCTCCTTCCCCCCATAACCAGACATCCGGGGTTCAGCCCCCTCCTCCACCCGGGGGATTTCAAGGCCACATCTTCCATGAGGCCACACACTCGCCAGGTAGGGAGGGAAAGGTTTCTACCACTGGTCTCAAAGCTCAGGCGTTGGCTCATTCTCCATGCTGATTCTGGGCAGCTCCTTCCTCCACATCCCCATCCCTCTGGACCCCTTTCGGCGGTGCCTGGCTGGTACACAGGGCCCAAGCGCCCACTCAGTGCTGTGAGAGAAGGAACCACGATGTTCAAGACGAGCGACATTCTGACCAGAAGCCGCTAGCTGCACAGTTGCAGCCTACCCAGCCTGATGGACGGTTGTTTTCCAAGATGCTTTTTGATCAGCCACCTGGAAGCCCCTGCTGGTGCTGCCACTGGTTGGGTGTGACACCGCGGGGTAACGGCGGGGCAATGGGTGCATTGTGAGCTCTGCGAGCGTCCTTCCTGAGCCTTGAGACGCCAGCATGCAGCGCTTCAGGAATCCACTTCTCAAGCACGTAATCCGCTGGGGTTGCTTTGATGCTGCTTCAAAGAGGCAGTGCCTGCAGTATTTAAGAGCTCTGAGGACACTGCAGCTTAACAGTTTCAACACCATTTTTTTAGGGGAAACAGATATTCCAGAAAGTCTTATAACAGGAGAAAAAAGAGCCAAGGAGGCCAGCCTCCGCTGGCCAGTATGGACACTTGTTTACACTGGCAGCAGCCAAGGGTGGGTGCCCTGGAGGTACAAGCTGCTATTAAGAGGTGATCTGCCCATTCATCAGCAGAACAGTATCTTTCAGGAGTTGTGTGATTCTCTGACCACCTCCTGTGTAAAGTGCGTAATTGTGACTAGGGATAAAATGCAGCTGATGCATGTGGGGGCAAAAGATGGCAAGAAGCCAGAGACGGGAACTCTGCCACCAGTCCAACCAACGATCTACATGTCTGGCATTGAGTGTTGCCCTGAAGTCGCTAGAGCAAATGGCCATAAGCTTCTTGTTGTGCCTTCGTCTTACAACTATCTCTATCCTATGGATGTCGCCAGGTCTTCTTTGAAATGGTTTATTATAAACAACAGGAAGAACTTTGCCCTGAGGTCTATTGAGAGGACCCACTCCTATAGGTGTATCCTCTTCAGTGACTTGATTGTTAAAGGAACAGAGAAGATGACCCCAAACAAATGGAAGGTAGCGATTAACAGTGAAGAGATGGGAGAACTACCACCTTGACACACTTTCTTAAATGGATCTTCCTGCAGTCAGGCCTCAAATATGTTTTGATTGGTGTTGAATGAGTTACCCTGCTCCAGATCTGCTGAGCCCTTTCCTTCAAAGGGTGTAAACCTAAAGAAACACATGTCAATAGCACTAATAAAAGAGATCATTTTAAATCCAAATGTTTCATTTTAGGTGTATTCCAGGACTAGGTTGATATGTGCTATGCTTGCATCGCGAAGGGACAGTTTATTTGCCTTACCCCAATAATGGGCCAAAGCACGCTTAAGATCCAGTTTAGCCGGCCTTCTGCATAAATTCCTCTGTCATGGGAATCATGAGACCATGCTGCAGATGTAAATGCCCTCGATTTCGAGAAAGGCTGGGCTGCAAAATGTATTCTGCAGGTCAGGCCTGTCTTCTTTGACCCAAATGGGAGATCTGCTCCTGAGCAGGGAATATGCTGGGCTGTGACTGATGCCAGAGTCCACAGCTTAAAGAAGTCAAGAATTTAATGCGACTTTCCCATAATATACACATTAACATCTGATATCAGCTCACTATTTCGTTACACCGAGTACCTTGCTTCCAACAGTGGTCTGCAATAAACATTTCAGAGACAGGTAAAAGAAATCTTTCTAAAAGGGAAGTTCCTTTCTGAAGCCTAACCATTAGTTGGTTCAGGCTTTAAAGCATGAAGAGTTCAGTGTCTCAAGATAAAACACGGCACTCATCACTGGAGATTTTCTTTATCCGTGACATCGATTACTGAGATGTAATGATTTCTCATGGAATTGAGTTCAAAAGATTATTTATGAGTGATGCAAAGTAGTATTTCTTAACAGCGGTTTTTTCAAGTTCATTGAACACTTTCTTTTTTTTTTGAAAGTAGCTTCCAATTTACATTCTCTGTGTTGCTCATTACTGCGTATGTGTTTATTGTGTACTTCTAAGAGAACTAAGACCATAAAAACATAAAAGAAATAACTTATGAGATGATTCACAGGTTCACTAAAACATGTCAATACACTGAGGCAAATCTGTGCGGTTTTTCTCCTGTGCGTGGAAACCGTCTAAATGAGCATTGTAATTTGGTGTGGCAGAGAGATATCTAAGAAAGGGAGTCTCATCTACCTTCAGAAGAATCCACGCATGTAATTCTCTAGAGCTGAGATGTGAATATACAGAGAAAAATAACCATCTTTTCTCAGCTTCATATTCATCAGCAAAAACATTTGCTCAGTTTTTACAAATATGGATGTAGCAGAGAATGGAAAATTAGGTGCTTCAAATGCAAGGAGGAAAGAGTTGGGGAAAAAGGGGAGAGACTGGAGAGGGGCAGGAATGTTTTTATTGTCCTGGTATCATGGCCCTGAATATAATTTCACATTGGCTTGAAGCAGCAATTGCTGGATGAATATGAAGTGGTGTGAAATCAGCATGAGGAAAGAAATAGGTCTGGTGCCTCTTTAGCACAAGGATAGGCAGTAATTGCACAGTAAGTTGGTTTTCTTAAGAAACAAATGATGCACACCCCATTTTCCCAATGACTGTTTACCTTCACCCGATGACACTGCACTATCTTATTGGGGAGAAGTAACAGCCTCACCGTAGCTCAGCCTTCCCGGTCTCTGCTCCCATGGCTTATGCAGCTGCGGGTTTAGGGTCGCATCGCAACACTTCTTCATCGGTAGAGTGTGTCTTCTGCCATCCCTAATTCGCAGTGGAGTCCATGGGACCAGGTGCAGAATCACCTGCTTTCCATCCATTTTAGCAATGAGGAAGTATCAAAAGGAAGTAATTTGTGTCACAGGAATTTGTAAGTCTTTCCTGTTTTGTATTCTTTGCTAAGATGAGGGTGAAGCCTCCATGAAGGGTTTAATGGAAACAAGCATGAGGAAAGAGGAAGTGGTTAGTGCCACATCTCCCAGAGAGCGAGGGAAAAACATCCTTTCCCTGCAAAGGGGCTAGGAAAGCCTCGCTAAACACCTTCACTCTTCCCAGCCTCCCGCTGGTGAAACTTTTTTACCCAGTCCTATTTAATGTGTATGGAAACCTGTGGGCAGGAAACAGAACCGAGTCTGAAATCAAATGAACTTTGGTACTTTATATAAAGTCCTCTGAGATGAGTCGTCTTCTTTCTTCCTCCCTCCCCCTTTGCTGCTGCAGAAGGGTAATTACAACCCATGTTTTCTACAAAACGTTGTAACCCTTTGTACCGAAGAAAAATATTGTGGCTCATACAGTTCTGACTCAACTGGTAATTTAGGATGACAGCAATTCCTTTAACATATGACTAAACAAGCTAATAGGAGGATGTTACCAAATAGCATGCATCTTATTCAAGAGCACTTGAAATAGCATGCATGAGTCTAATATCTTCTTGGTAGGATATTAAATACCTATTATTTTATTAGGCTTGTGAGCAATAGCTCTTGCAGTGAGGCTTAGTACACTTGACCATTGCAGGATGTCAAAGCAAATCTCTTTGTTCCCACTCACAACTCTCTCTGTGTGACTGAAATGGACCACTAGAATAAAATGATTAAAGTATCTTTGCATAAAGAGCAGAGGCAGATGCAAATGCATATGTTGATGAAGAAGCTATAACAGATGTCCCTCTGCTCTAAGCTAGCTGGAATGAAAATCACCTGAATTTTCATGATGTCTCATTGACTAATTACTTCTAAATGCTTTTCCAAGTCTCGTCTTCATGGAAAAAACTTTTATTTCCCTCCAGCTCATGAAGCAGGCCTGTAATGATAGGCTCAACACAGTTTTTTCCCTATTTTCAAGTCCTCTGTCCTAATAGCATGATGCAACCCAGGGTACAGATGGGACAAATGCACCTGGGGCAAGAGCCTACAGAGGCCCAAGCCAGGGATGTAATGATGGGACACAAGGTGTGAGCTTCTGTGACTGAGCAGGCAGAGTGGGGCCCATTTTGTGCCACGTCTGAGAACTGGGAGAAGGCTGGCCAGGTAGTGGAAATGCAACCAACATCGCTCGAAGCCCAGCCTCTGCCTCTGTGAACTTGTTCTTTGAAATTTCCTTCTGCAGCGACCATGTGGAGGAATTACGGAGAGAAATGCACAGAGGAAAGAAGGAGGGATACAGGAACAATATTCTATGTAAGAAATGCAAAATAAGAAAACTGTTTCAGAAAACAAATACATGTAAGAGCCAGACTCATTTATAAGACTTAAACTGCACGTAACTGTCAGTGTCTGACATTTCTTGTTGGCTAGCTCTAAGCCTCCTCAAATCAATGAGAAACACTAAGCCAGGAAATTAGCCTGAATTTAGGCCAGAGGAATATGAGTCACAGCAAATCAAAAGAGCCATAGGACTGGGAAAGTGCCACACCATCAGAAGCTGAGGCATTGGAGAGCAAATCCAACCAATATGAGGAAGTCCAGGAAAAAAAGAGACTCATAAAAAAGGATGGTCACCCATGTTGTGCTTCTAGTAACCAATAGGAAGCAGCTATATACATTCTCTGCTCTGTGACAGCCATCTCAAGAGCCTTTGGACAGACTGGGACTCATAAAAAAGGATGGTCACCCATGTTTCATGGGACCATGGGTGAAACATTCTCACCATGTTTCTAGTAACCAATAGGAAGCAGCTATATACATTCTCTGCTCTGTGACAGCCATCTCAAGAGCCTTTGGACAGACTGGAAACAGTCTCGTGGTGAGGCACAGCCTTTGATGCTGGTACACACGGACATTTTCAATCAGATTCAAAGAGGGAGAAATTGATGCCGTATGGAGATACACATGAATACATGCCTAACCACTTATTTGTGCCCAAACAAACTTTTTCTCTACGGGAACATACGAGGAGTCCATTGCTACGGGGGTAACTGTTCTGGCAACTGCCGGGTATTTCTGTTATCAGCTGGAGAAGGGCCAGCTGGTGCTCTGATTATCCCCGAGATTGGTACACACATATGCCAATCAAGGTCGAGTTGAGCCTAGATGATATGCTGGGCTTGCATAGACAAGACAAACCAGCTTCAAAAGCCAAAGCCAAACCGCGGAGTGATGTGCGTTGTGTGTGAACATCCAGCCACCTCTGAGTCCCCAAACCAGGTAGCCGCTTTACAGCCAGCCTATCTGAAAATAGCTTTTGGCACATGTCCGGGGGGAAACATAAACTCAGGTTTTAGAAATTTTACCTGATCTGTCTCCACACACTCATGTGGGTTGTGCTTTTTTTTGTTTTCCACATGATCAGGAGCATGTCAGACACAAGTCTGTCACAGGGTAGTCAGATCCTTCATGTGAGGTCTCTCAGCTCCTCACTGAACTTGACTTGAAGGCTGAGGTTAGTACATAGTTAATAAATAAGGAGATGATGCAGCAAGTTGATGCATCTTCGGAAGCAATTTTGCAAAGACTGAAGGCTGAAACGAGAGAGGTTTGTTTCAGCTTAGTCTACTGGTTTCTCCCATGACAGAGCTGGAGAGGGGGCTATGAGAGTTTGCCACAGTGCTCCTCTTCGGACGGAGTTGAGGCCAGGGGGTTGAGAGTCAGCAGGTAGGCAGAGATGCTGACTGAGTGTCACAGGTCAGAGCTGGGATCAAGGAGAACCATGAAGGACTCTACCCCAGACAGAACATTTGCAGTGCCTCTACTGAGAAGAGCAAGAAAAAACAGCTGGAATTGCTGATCCCCAAGAGGAAAACTGAGGAAGGAAATGTTGGAAATAGTTCTTTGCATGTGAGTCTCTTGGAAGAGCTGAAAAATACTTAGCTCCCTGACTTGCAGCACAATGGCTGAGAGCAATCTCTCCTGCCCTGGGGCGCTGCTCAGGGAGCTCTGCCTTCCTCCAGCACCAGTGCTGTTGTGTTTCTGGTCAAAGTCTTGTGGCCTTCAGACTAAAAGCGTTCAGTGGTACGAAAATCAAGCCAAGTTCATTTCAGCCAAAGTCTAAAATGGATAATGAGAAAACAGTCCTGAATGCTTCTTCACTTATTTTTCACTTTAGGGACCACAGCTTCCCCACAGCCACTGAGCTCCTTCAGGCTGGAAGGGCCCTATTCCAGCAGCCACTTAAGTCATCTCAGAACCTGTAAGAGTTTATTTTTTCCCTTAAAATCCCAACAGCTCCTTTCTTTATTACTACACAAGGATTTTGGCTTTTGTTTAAAAGCGCACGGCCTTTGTGTCAGTTAAAGAAAGCCTAAAGGTGCCAACACTAGAAGTTTAAAAGCCAGTAATCCTCTTATTTTCTCAGTCTTCAACATTTGGCACTGGTGACAATGACAACATCCGCTAGTGAAAGACCCGTGCAAGTGAGGTACTGCGTAAGGTTAAGCTGCCCATCTATACAACATGAATGGTCTTTTTTAAAAGAGTAATTTTACAGAACAGGGGAGGAGAGACTCTGTAGTTCTGTAGGCACCAGAAGAGTGTGACCTGGCTCGCTTTCTGGGATGGGATCATCTACAAGAGGATCTGGTGTAGATGCCCTGCTGTCTAACAAGCTGCACGCTCATACACACTGAGCACTTCAAGGCTCTCTATCCTTGCTGCCTCCTTTCACTTGCAGAAACTCAATCGAATTGAATTCTCTATTCCTCTTTTAAACTTGCCAGGACTAATCGTATAACCCTTCTCTCAGTAAGAAACCAGACTTCGAGGTCCCCAGCTGGTTTCCAAACAAGAAACTGAAACAAATCTGAGCTGCTGTCTCCCCCCAGTGTCAGCACATTTTCTTGTTTAAGGCTGCAACTGTGGCACATGGGATGCCCAAGGGTAAAAAACACCTGCTCTAACCTATCCGGTGATAGCATAGATCAAAACTCTACCCTGGCATGTCAGAGAACAGACAGTGGTTCAGGTTTGGGAATGGATAAGATGTCTTCTTGTTTTGGAAACTGCAGGACATCAGGCTGCTGTGACACCCATCACAAGCTCTAGGGGTTATCCATGCTGTGGCACTTCGAAGTTAAGGAAAAAAGCAGCCAGGTTGGACCAGGTTTGAAGTCTCACACGTACAAAAAGGTTTTCTGATTTGGCTGTAGAGGCAAAAAGGTGGTGATGTGGGGGACTTCTGAGGGGACTCCTCACAGCTGCTTTCTCCCCCGTTCAAGCCAGGGACAAAAAAGAGGCTCCTTGTGTTAATTCCCTTCTTGCATGTTTGGCAAGGTAGGGCTCCCAGATTTTAATGCCAGACTTGATTGCTTTGGGTGCTAAATGGTGCCCAATTGCTTTGATGCTAAATGACTTGCTTTAAAGGGAGATTGTGTACCTTTGATTCTGCTTACAGATCAACTGTATTGAAGTGGAGAATACCTCTGCTTTCAGTTTAAAAAACAAAAAAAGCTCATTATTACTATTGGTCTAGAAAAATCTACTCTCGGTTGAGAGTCTAAAAAAATCTAGATTGGGGCCAATATTCAAAGGCAACCAGTGACTGCGTGGGGCCAAGATATTGCTTACTTTTGAAGCTGGTGGACACTACACAGGCCTGACAATTTCCTGTTGAGGTTTGGGCGTGTGGCTTCGCTAAGTACCTTGGTGCGTTTCCCTCAATAGCTGTTTAATGGAGGTGGTTAGCAGAGTCTGTTCTCACTGAACGCTGAGAGCCATTTAATTAAATTACCATTCAATTCCACCTTTGCATAGACAGATGACTGCTGAGACCGTAGAGAGAAACTGCTGTTTTACAATGGCACTACGAATTCCCCAGCCTGGCAGTCCTGAGGCTGCCGTAGCAAGGATATCGCTCTATCCCGGGAACGGGCTTCTGCAATACTTCTATTCCGCAGTCACCAAGGTGACCGCATGAACAGCGAGATTTTAAAAACCACTGCAGTTCCTGGTGAGTAACTCCACCGCAGCAAGAGCTCTCTGAGCATCAGCTGTATCAGCTGCACACAAACTTAGATAACACTTGCAAGACGGACACTGCAGCAGCGCGCGCTGGTGTGACCGCACCTCGGCCTGCAGCCGCAGGGAGAGGGCAGGAGCGAGCCATCCCAGAGACCTCCCACACCCTGCTGGGCTACCAAACCTTCTCCAAGGGCCCTTCGCTTCTCCTCTTCCCTCCTCTCCCCTGTCAGATTTCAGCTTCACCTTAACTTCCAGAAGATACAAGGATCTAGGAAGTGCTTTATAATGGAAACGTGAAGGCAAACGTACCTGTCGGCACTGCTACACGTCTAAGCCTTTATTTCTGTGAAAAAAAAGAAAAAAATCTGCTCTGTTGATTAACCTACCGTGACCGAGTTAGCTTATCCTCCAGGATTTGGTGTTATTGGACATGCAGGAATAGCTAGTAATGGTAATGAAAACCTCCTCTGCTTCATAGGCCAAGTAGTAAACACTTGGCCATAGAGAGAGCCATACACAGCTCTCGGATACTGTGCCTAGCAAAATAATGTAACAAACCTTCTAGCATGAAACTTCCTCAAAGGTTTTCATACTGGTACTATGATTTGTTTTACTCTAAGGAAGTCCTAGGTATGGAAAGTGGTTTGAGAAAGACCTGCCTGGAAAGGCTCCTCTCCTGCATTTGTTCATCTGGATTCAATAAAGTGCCCACAAGTTTCAGATTTACACCCCTGCCGGAAGCAGTTGCTCTGAAGAAGTTGCACAGAGCCCTTCCCATTTCCTTCTGTCTGTCCATGAACCTTGTACACACCCATGATGGATTCAGAGTGTTTTTCTCTTTAAAAGCAGCTACCTCCCTGCAGCTAATCTTTAAAAACTGCCTCCCCTGCAGCTCTAACTGTAGCATTTGAGTAAGCAGCAACCAAGGCCATTATGTGTTTCGGTTTTTTTTTTTTTTTTTTTTTTACAAAGGATTTTTTATTGCATAAATAGAGGCTTAGATATTTTGCTGTACGTATAAAAAGTTGAGATACAGTTTAAGCGAATGTTACTCTTGAGGGTTTTATTCCTTTGACACATCCTTCATCTACAGGAAGTCTTCGTTCTCCCAGGAAAGGAATCTGATGCAAGCTGCCAAGTGTCAGAAAATCTGCAGGGTGGGGAAACAGCAGTGAGAATAGCAGGCATGATATGCTGGCAGCACATGGGCTAAATCTGCCTGCCCACGTGGCACGCTGCAATTGGAGCTCATCGCAGCTCTGCGGTGCTGACACTGGAGAACACTTTCAGGGCAGGAGAATTCACCCCTTCTCGCAATCCCGTTATAGAAAGACAGCTGACAGTCTGAGAGATGGCAGAATTTAGGAAGGACTGGGCCTCTGGTGGGCAACACTGGGTGACTGGGCAACTAAGGTATTTTCTGCAAAATCAGAGATGCTTTAATGCCAGTCATTCAACAAGGTCAACGTCACATGCTGGACACAGAGGCCTTGCAGGATGAGCTCGTTACCCTGGCGCAGCAATCCCTTGGGCTATGGACTCTGCCAGGCAGAACTCCCTGGGACCCAACGCCGCACACACAGCACGGTATGGTCTGCTCATTACAAGTGGCAGGCTTGCTCACTTGCAGGGCAGCCCATCTCTCATTTGTTTAGCAATAAAACTCCATTTAACTTACTCTTGTCTGACTTATTCTGCAAAAATGGAAAGAAGTGTTCTCACAGCATTTTCCAGTGGCTAGCTAAACCGATTTAATCGGTGAGTTTAAAATGGCACAAGTCTGCGTCTGCCCAGAGACAAGTCCTCAATCTGATGTAAACAGGAGACTGAAAAACACCTTTGTTTTTGTTGTTTTTCCTATGCGAATGAACCACTTCATTCCCATGGTTATTTCCAGGGCCCCATTTCTAGTCACAATTTCCAAAGCCTGTTGCACAAAATAAAACAGTGATAGGTTTGAAATCAAAACTAGTAAACATATCTAAAAACTGAAACTCTCTTCATATATGAGGTGATGACCTCAAAAGGGGAAAGTAAGGTTTTTTTAGTTTAATAAAGAGTAACATTACATCAAACTCCCACGGAGCTTACAAAAGGCAGGCAGGAATAGAATTCCCATTTTGCTGCAGAACAGAGAGATGTGAAACAAACTGATACAAAAATCACATACCAAACAAGTCAGGGAATATAATCTTAGCACTAGTCAGCACTCATTTCATTAATGGACTCGATCCAATAAGGCAATGATTGCTTAAACTTTGAAAACAGTGGGAAGGAATTCAGCACAGAGGGAATGAAATCACAAAACCTCGAGAAATTTTGTAATGTTCATTTTGCTCTTTTCTGCAGAAAGATGTCCGTTTTTCTCAGCGAAGTATATATGGGGGATGTTACATAGCATAACCTGTAGCATTTCTGTTACCTTGGGAAGCTCCATGGCATAAGATTTGGTGCTTCCAGCTAAACTATCTACAACTTGTCATGTGTTTAACTAATATGGAATGGCTGATTCTTTTCTATCTTAATTATGTGATTTAAGGCCAAGAGGTCTGACTGCATCATCCTGTCTGTCATGCCTCTCGTGCGCTTTCTGCCAATTTAACCATCTCTTTACGTATCAGGATTCCCTGTGCAATTGGCTGGGCATAAAAATTCGGGGAGATTAAAAGCAGAGAAGGAATATTGTGCTAAGATCTCCTAAATCACGAAACATGGCTGCCAAGTTTTCTGGTGGCAACTGCAGCTCTTACAAAGAATGGGCATGATATGGGTGTGCAAATACACTGAAGCATCGCAGGAGACAAATATTACAAGAACTCAGATAGTGGTGATAGTTCTAATTGCACAATCCAAATGCACAATCCAAATGTATCAAAGCCAAAACATAATGGGTTTAATATGTCAATGCCATTATCGAACACCAGGATGTTGAATAAATTCTATACCTGAGACTCTTTAATCATCCTTCTTCTCTACTTCTGTTTTAAATTTCTCTTCACGTTCCCTCTTCAGTTTTTCTTCAATTTTTTTGCTCTGGTACATTTTTACTCCAGCAAATGCTAAGCAAAGAATCAATGTTTTAGCGGCCAAAATGTACATCAGCAATGGGAAATTCTCCAAAGCCTGAAATGCAAAACAATATATTTAAGCAGTTACTGGAACACCTGGACAATTAAAAACAAATCTACAGGGATGCTATACCGCTTCCTACAGCAACAGCATTATTCAAAGCAACAGTAATGCTCCTCTGTTCATGCTTTTTTTTCTGTAGGAAACTTTAAACTAGGCAGATCAACGTCTAGGGAAAAGGACAAAAACAAGTTCACTTCACTCAAGTTTGTATATGAAGCCCCTTTGAACAGGTCTTTGTTGCTTTTGCTTGCTTTACAGCAAATGGAATATTGGCAAGATCTAGAGCTGAAAAAGGGGAAGAACCGAGTATCTTAGGTAAAGGTGGAAAGCCTTCTGAACAATTCTCACATGAGCGATCAATCCGTGCATATCAGCTATCAGATGTGATCCCCAAAGATACTTTTGTGCTCCTAGAAATTTTAATCCATGGTAGTTTTGCAATTAACTTGCCCAGACCTGTAAGGTATAGATAGAGGCCTTTAAACTGGAAGAAAAGTAAAAAAACCCACAGCCTCCAACGATTCAGTTTCAGGAGTTTATAATGCCTGGAACCACCAAAATCACACAACATATTTCAATGTTATAAAAGCATGCTACTGTAAGTGTACATGGAGTGGAAAATAAAATGCAAATGGGTAACACTGTGAACTCAGAATACAAATATAACAAGAGCAGCACAGGCACTCAGTGAAAGATGTCAATTCCAGAAGGATATTGAAGGTACATGAACTTCCCAGCACATTGTTTCAAAGAGCCACCTGGCCAGCAGGATCGGTCCGGTGGTGCACAGTAGGTTCACAGTGCCAGCTCCCCCTTAGCGAGCCTCCCAGTACCCCCCTGTACCCTTAGCAGGCCTTCCAGCACCTCATAAAGCTGTTTGGCCATTGTCAAAGTAATGAATTTAGAAAAAGTCTTGTATCCATACACCATTAGTGTGTCCCCCTAAAGTCCACAGATCAGAGGCTCAGGTGGGGTCTTTTAGAACACTGAATCTCTACAAGCTGCACGTTACCTTTGACATCAGGCCACTCCCCTTGAATTTTGCAAAAAACCATCATCCTCTGTCAATCTCCCCACATATTAAAAGTGGCAACCTCTTTAAACCACAGCTCTGCAACACCAGAAAAGCCAAGCCAAGGCTTGGGGTTAACATTGCTTTCTTGATAAATGGTTTGGTTTAACATGTTAAAAATCATTAATGCATGAGGTACTCGCTCAAACATTTCTGTGCCTTACACATGTACCCTGCAGAGTGTTTATGGCCCCAATACGCTAAAAGACATAGTGGAGAAAATACCCTCCAGTAACGAAAGAAGCTGAGGAAAGAGCAGCCGGAGAAAAGCCCTGAAAGAGGAAAGCCAGAAAGAGGAGCAGAGGCAAGCAGAGCAGAGCTTACCTACCAGCGCTGCGCCCAGGTCTAAAGTGTGAGGCCCCAACAGCAAGTACTAGGGCCAGCCCGCAAGGTGCAAGCATGTATGGCAAGAAAGGACAACAACAACGACTCCTCTGTCCCTGAGGTGCAGAGTGTGGTGGTTAAACAACCTTCACCTAGGCAAGGAAACCATCTTTAAATGCAGGACCCACCCAACCACATCTTACATGCATCTGCTTGAAAGAGCAGAAGTTCACTGCTTTATGAATGTGAAACATCCTCACCTTCCAGTTAAATGCCACCATCTTGGCTGTGTGATGATATTGTCCGTCCCGCAGCAGGCTGCTCCCAGCACCGATGAGCGTCACACTTCTAAAGGCACAGACCGGGGCAGGAGCATCTTGAAGAAATGGAAAGTAAAAGAGAATTAGCCAATCTGTTTCTACTCAGCATGTCCACCCTGCACCTCTCTGACAAGCTCATCTGCTGCACAGTGTCTGGCAGCGTACCAGTGCCACACAGTTCAGGAATGACCTACATGGGCCTTTTTGGAGCTGAGTGACAGGAGCAACGTCCGTGCTACTGAAGGACAGGGGTTTGACAGGCCCCAGGCAGGTGCCACACTTGCACAGAGCGGAGGCTGCACTTCCACCGTGCACAGAACATCCCAGCAGCTGCCCAACCAAAACCACAATGCTGGCTGCTTTTGAAAGCTTGACACGTGTGCACATCACACCGCCTCACTGATGTTTGAGAAATAGTGGACAGAAGTGCAACCAGAAGAGCTGCCCTGTTCGGAGCCCAAATGCCTAATGAATCCTAGTATCTAATATCATTTACCAGTTCTCTCTGATTTACTAATAAATTAAATTCTCCACGCAGCCCATAATAACACAGAAGCGAACCAACCACTCACTGAATCCCCTGAGAGGTCAACATACGTTTCAGAGCTGAACTCTGGGGCTGAGAAATGCCCTAGGGGATACTGAAGGCTGCAGCACAGAGCCACAACACTGCCCTCTGGTCTCTGCTTGCTGCTCCACCAGCACTAACACCGTTTCAGCTGCTGGATTTCAAATTAAGCACATTCCCCTGCCTGACCCACTCAAGGTGGTTCCTGTATGTGTAACAGAGTCACCATCAAAAAGCAGGAGGAAGCCCTACAGCTTAGTCCAAACCTTCACCAGCAGCTGGACTGAATAAATCACCACCACGCCACAATAGCTGCTGCTGACCTTTCTTCAGAAACAGGGAGTCAAGTAAATGCTCTTGCAGCTCCTGCGCTACTCAGCCAGCTTCTTCACAGATGCCCTTATTTCTCCAGCTAGGGCATCCTCTTCTCCCCTCTTCCCCCAGATGCAAAATCCTCACCCTGCAGAGACCACCCTGGAAACGTCCCCATGGAAAGACACCACTGGAGATCCCTGTTACCGAGATCGAACTATACCGAAGCAGCGGCGTGGCCAACTCGTTTGTCATTTAGTATTTACTGTGTTGATCCTGAGTTGTGCAGCTCCCTTCTCCTGTTGATAAAATGTCAGGGCAGCTGTGAACTAATGAGTCAGTAGTACCTCACCTCCAAAAAAAAGGCATTTTAACTTCTGATGTTTCCTCCAGAATTTCAGCGACCATTGAGATTTGAAGTCCCCTGCCAGATGGTCACAGCAAAAATCCCACATCAGAGCAGAATCTCCTTCTCAGTGCACAGTTCAGATGGCTACAGGCTTCTCAATGAAACCCAAGTTACACAAGTCTGGCCTGATCTGAAGGGACTGCACTGCCCAACTGGGCTGTCCTCATCTCAAAATGCTGACTTGGGTGGGGGCTTCATCAGACACAGTCTTCACTCTTCTCCTAAATTGCTGTAAATTCTGTGCTTCAGTCAGAATCAATTTTGCAAGATATTGTAAAAAGGCAAGAATTCAGCCATTCAAAGACAGGCTAGCATCTGGCATATGATGCTGAAAATGGGGCTTTAGTGATTTTTTGTATACAGAAAAAGTTTTAGACTCAGCAAACGTTATGTGAGCCCATCTGTGGGGTCTGATTGCAGGGTACTGTCCCACCAGCAAGAAGCAGTGTATCATGTGTATCACAGTGTGCACTCCTGCGAGTGCTCTTGGTTGTGAGTTGATTATTTAGGCATTCAGCGCAATGCTTCTGTAATATTTCCGCTCTGCTGAGACATGAGCCTGAATCTGCCTCAATTGTGTATCCACCAGGAGTAGCTGCACTGAAGTCACAAAGGACAGGAAGTAAAGAAATTCTCCCTTTGTTCTGAAGAGTGGTGTTTTGATCCAAAATGTTTCCTGTGAGAGCTGACACTTTTGATGGTCTGTCCTCAGTGTCTTCTGCGGTTGGAACTGAGTGGGGAAGCCACCGCTCTCTCCATGTTGCATTCCCACATGCTGTGCCACCAGCCTCTGGTGGTCAAGCACATCTCCCCGTTTCACTTCTTGACTCTTCCAGTCTCCATTTTGATCCAGACCTTATTAAATACAGCTGAAACCCCAGGACAGAAAAAAAATGGGTGGAGCTGGGGCACGGGACAGGGAGAAGAAAGTGGGAAGAGGAGAGAAAAAGGCAGGATTCATTTCACATTTGAAAAAAACAATTTGTTAGCACTGAGGTCATCAATTCAAAAGCAAAAGGCTCAGACACTGTACTTTCAAGGTTATGATATCTTAAAAGCGTGCAGGCAACTGAACAGCTGAAGTTTCATGTTTGCCTTTTCAGAGGCAGATAAGGCACAGATAGGGGTTCAGAATACACACACAGTCAGGCATTGTTCGTTCCCCAGCAAAATGCAGGCTTCCCTAACAAACACAGTGCTACTGGGAACGGAGACGGGCCCCACGGAAGGTCACTATTACCTTCACTCACAATAAGGAGGTCTCATGTTGAGCCACGTGAGAAAGAAACGGGAGCACTAGGCTCTGCCTGAAGCCCTGCCGGAGACGGCGTGACAGACGCTCCGTAAGGCTATCCATCACGTACTTGTAGACTCCTGTGCAGGGTAGGGACAAAATGCTATCACTCTCACACATATTGGTGGCCTTCTTCACCGTGACTGCGCCTCGCAATCACTAGCCTATTTACACTCAGACCTCCTCTGTGAAGCAGATCAAACTACTGCAGCTGGGAAAGGAAGAGAGGGTCTGCCCGTACCGCACACCTCAGCGCTGTACTAGCAGTCCTCTGTTAGCCCCAAATGCTGTGAGGTCTTCTGGGTCCAGAGCAGGCGGAGAGAGTCACCAACTCAGCCCTAGAGGCTCGTGTCCTCAGCAGGGCTAAAGAGCTCTCAGGGAGGGCTGCACCAAGTCCCAGAGCTAGACTTCAGCTGATACCAGCCCCAGGATGTCTGCACAACGCTGCATTGTGCAACGCAGACCACCCCAGACAAAGGAGGTGGGCCCCAGTCGGATGGGAAGTCTGTGGTGGAGCACAGAATTGAATCCAGGTCTCTCAGCCACTGAATTACAGCTCCAGTCCACCACAGCAACCACATCACTGCCCAGCCACCCACACCATTGTTTGCTTATGCAGCAGCAGAGTATTGACTGGCCTGCACGCACCAGAAAACGTCCACACAGGCATCTGGGTGCTCACAAACCCACTTGAGTTGTCTTGGCTGAAAGTCTCAGTCAGCCTGCCAATAATTCCATCTACTCAACAAAATGGGACTCAAGATACTCTTTTGTCTGCTGGGGATTTCTGAGCATCTCCATTTTATCCACTTTGTGAAAAGCTATAAAAGTCACCAGCCTCGGAAAGCAGTGAGTTACTAGGGTTTTATGACTGCATTTAAAATGGAGTGATGGCTGAGTATGTCCTGAGCTAGAAAAGGGATTTCATTCCACCTGTCTCTTGTTACTGCTTTCTTTAATGCACATATTTCAGGAAGCAAAACGCATGCTTCCCACCTGGACAGTCACTGGAGGACTCACCACTACACGTGACCTGCTGCGTCATGCATCAAGCTTACCATCTGCAAGACAAGCCTCCTCAAAACAAAAGTACTACTAGGTCATGGGAAAACACAGTAATATGGCAAAGCCCAAAGGCTGCAGAGAAACACAGTGGAAGCAACTGTAAGCCAGAGCTGCTGCACTAAGAATCCATCACAAACCACTACCACAAGATGCAGCAGTTATATAAAGTCAGAAGCACTCAGACCTGTGCAGATTTACAGCCTATATGTGTAGGTAGGCCAAGACATCACTCCATAAAAAGACCAGAAGCACTGGGTTTATACTGGTGTCATAGAATCATAGAATCATTAAGGTTGGAAAAGACCTCTAAGATCATCGAGTCCAACCGTCAACCCAACACCACCATGCCCACTAAACCATGTCCCCAAGCGCCTCATCTACACGTCCTTTAAATACTTCCAGGGATGGTGACTCAACCACTTCCCTGGGCAGCCCGTTCCAACGCTTGAGAACCCTTTCAGTGAAGAAATTTTTCCTCATGTCCAATCTAAACCTCCCCTGGCGCAACTTGAGGCCATTTCCTCTCGTCCTATCGCTAGTTACTTGGGGGAAGAGACCGACACCCACCTCGCTACAACCTCCTTTCAGGTAGTTGTAGAGAGCGATGAGGTCTCCCCTCAGTCTCCTTTTCTCCAGGCTAAACAACCCCAGTTCCCTCAGCCGCTCCTCATAAGACTTGTTCTCCAGACCCTTCACCAGCCTTGTTGCCCTTCTCTGGACACGCTCCAACACCTCAACATCCTTCTTGTAGTGAGGGGCCCAAAACTGAACACAGTATTTGAGGTGCGGCCTCACCAGTGCCGAGTACAGGAGCACGATCACTTCACTGCTCCTGAAAAAAAGTGTCACTGATAAAGAAATTCCTATACTAACAGCAACTCAAGGAACATCAAAAACATAAAGCCATACAAGATCTTCATACCTGAGGAAGCACAAATGAAAGTATTAGTGATTCCTCCGGCAGCTCCTCACATGCTCCAAACTCTGGAAAACAAGAACAGAGCAGATGGGATGTATCAGTCATGGCGGCTGGATTAAAACCAAATCAACTCAAAACCAAAAATGTCAGTAGCACATCAGACTGTTCCACCGTGGGTCCCAGGGCATTATTTCAGCCACGTCCCAGGGTCCTTGCAAGCTGCAGGCCCTCGCTTGCTGCCACCACCTTGTCCTAGGAGGGTCTGCTGAGCTGGCAGCCCCCGCTGCCTCCATTCCGATCCCAGCTCTGCCCTGGTCACCTTTCCTGGTTCCTGCAGCACCAGTGCCCAGCACAGCCAGCAACCCACACGCTCGCTTGAGGAAACCAAACTTTTTCAGCAAATGATAACTTCAGATCCCTCTTTATTACTTCCTTTTTTCTTAAGAAAACAACAAAACTTGGCAGATTCATATGCAGTAAATCGCACCTCCAGGCGGCCATGCATCATACCCTGCGGCAATACGCCAGGAGACGGCCGAATCAGGCCTGCCTGCAGTTTATAGCCAGCGAGCGTGTCTCCAGCAGCTTTTAAACCTCACGCTCCCTCGTCCGAGAGCCGGCCGGGAGGCGGCAGGTTACTTCGAGGGAACTTCTGCTGCCGCCTCCCACACCCGCTGGTGCGAGGGGCCAGGGCGGGAGCAGGGCCTG